TTGCACTGTTCATTTAAGAAGGCATTCTTACATCTTCTAGCTATTCTCCGGAATTCTGCATTCAATTGGGTGTATCTTTCCCTTTCTCCCTTGCCGTTTGCTTCCCTTCTTTCCTCAGCTATTTGTAAAGCTTCCTCAGACAGCCATTTTGCTTTCTTGCATTTCTTTTTCTTTGGGATGGTTTTAGCTGCTACCTCTTGTACAGTGTTGCGAACCTTCATCCATAGTTCTTCAGGCACTCTATCAGATCTAATTCCTTAAATCTATTTGTCACCTCTACTGTATATTCATCAGGGAAATGATTTAGGTCATGCCTGAGTGGTCTAGTGCTTTTCCCTACTTTCTTCAACTTAAGCCTAAATTTTGCAACCAGAAGCTCATGATCTGAGCCACAGTCAGCTCCTGGTCTAGTTTTTACTGACTGTATAGAGCTTCTCCATCTTTGGCTGCAGAGCACATAGTCAATCTGATTTCTGTGCTGACCATCTGGTGATGTCCATGTGTAGAGTCATCTCTTGTGTGGGTTGTTGGAAAAGAGTGTTTGCTATGACCAGCGTATTCTCTTGACAAAATTCTACCAGCCTGTGCCCTACTTCGTTTTGTACTCCAAGGCCAAATTTGCCTGTTATTCCAGTTATCTTTTGGTTTCCTACTTTAGCATTCCGATGCCCCATGATAATAAGGACATCATTTTTGGGTGTTAATTCTAGAAGGTGTAGGCCTTCATAGAACTGGTCAACTTCAGCCTCTTCAGCATCGGTGGTTGAGGCATAGACTTGGACTGCTGTGATGTTGAATGGTTTGCCTTGGATTTGAACTGAGTTCATTCTGTTATTTTGGAGACTGTATCCTAGTACTGCTTTTCCTACTTTTTTTATTGACTATGAAGGCTACTCCATTTCTTCTGAGGGATTCTTGCCTGCAGTAGTGTACATGATGGTCATCTGAATTAAATTCACCCAATCCTGTCCAGTTCAGTTCACTGATTCCTAAGATGTCAATGTTCAGGCTTGTCATCTCTTGTTTGACCACGTCCAGCGTACCTTGATTCATGGATCTTATGTTCCAGGTTCCTATGGAGTATAGATCTTTGCAGCATCGGACTCTCCTTTCACCACCAGATACATCTGCAAGCATTTGTCCTTTTGGCTTTGACCCAGTCGCTTAATTGTTTCTGGTGCTACTAGTACTAGCCCTCTGCTCTTCTCCAGTAGCACATTGGACACCTTCCGACCTGAGGGGCTTATCTGCCGGCATCATATCTTTTCCCCTTTTGGTAAAAAGGTACTGTCCATTGGGTTTTCATGGCAAGGATACTGGAATGGGTTGCCATTTCCTTCTCCAGTGGATCACGTTTTATCAGGGCTCTTTGCTATGACCTGTCTGTCTTGGGTGGCCCTGCATGGCATAGCCCATACCTTCATTGACCTACACAAACCCCTTCACCATGACAAGGCAGTGATCCATGAAGGAATTACATATTGTAAAACACACTTTCTACCAAAGGCATCTCACTGATTTTATAGGATCTGGATAGGTACTTCAGTTCATATTGAATTACTTTGTGATTCAGAAATAATCAAACAAGCAACAATTGAATTTCAGAGCCTCTTTCTCTCAAAATTCTGTGAAGTCAAAGCTGCAGTATACCAGTTTTGATTTCATGTAACTGGGGTACTAAAGCAGAATGTAGTGTTTTCTGTGTGATCCCCTGTGTGAGTCTGAACTAGGAGAATAGACAAACTAATATTTGGCTTTATTTTCTCCAATTGTTGGAATACAAACTTCTTTTTGGACACAAACCAAGAATCATGGTTTAACACACACTCTAATCAGTTACTAAATAGGCTTTCAGCCAGTCCTGGATTGTTTGGTGGCATGAAAGAGAGCAGATTGGCAGAGGCTTGTACACATAATGCTAAATGCTGGCTTAGTATTACACACAAACATAATCAGTGTTGAAGTATGCCTTATTTTTAGGATAGCTTTTATTCTGCAAGAAGAATTGCCAGCATTTGTTTCCAATTACTATTAAATGCAAGAAAGCTTTAAGAATATGGCCTCGTTTTAGTGTTGATGCTGTAGCCTCTAATGAAACATACATATAACTAGTTGAAACAAAGCTAAGGTTACAAAGTAAACAAATTGGTGAATCTCGTACTACTAATATTACTCTTATTTTTAGTGTTTCGGTGAACAAACTGTGAGAATGTAAGAAGAGAAATATTGAAGCAAGGGCTTTAGAAAAAGGTTGCCTTTCCTTGGGGAAATATTAAAGCTTGCAGTAATCTGATCAGATTCCTCCCCTACACACACCACACCCCAGTTAAAGCAGAGACACTATTTTTCCAAGCTGTTATCATTGTTTTATCACAGTAACTCTGGAAGTAATAATTAATTTAGAAGCTTGAACAAAAATTGTTTGAATTAATGGGTTAGATCCACAGTTGTATGGAGCCTGTGGACAAGAGGACCAGAGGCAATGTGGACAGGGGAAAGGAACAATTGGTGCTAATTGCCTGCCCTGTTGCACCCATGGGAATATCTAGCTGCTGGAGCAAAAGCTTGAATTGGATTTACTCACTTCTGTGAATGAAAGGAGCCCTCACAGAGCAGCACACATCTGCTTTGAACCCAATGTTATAATTTGAATAATTTAATCCCAGTTTTATACTTTTAATGCTTAAAATATACAAAACATTTGGGATTTCTTTATTTCATTACAGCTCTTGGAAGTTCCTGAGATAGCTCAAGACTGGCATGCTGTGTGCAGGTCTTTAAAGGAAATGCATCTTAAAAACGAATAAAAGGCTCTTTTCACATTTGATTTGGGCTGCTAATCTGATAACAGTAGATCCTACTTGTGCATTTAACATTTGAAAACAGTATTTTAAAATTGCATTTATTCTGTCCACCTGGGCCATTTGTCTCTACGTACTCTATTCTGCCTATTATAGCAAGCAAAATTATAATTTTACCCAGGGTGAGTAGAGGAAAAGGTGGGAAAGCACTGCAGCTATATTCTTTCTTACAGTTTCCAAGCTCCTGAAGGGTAAGGCAGAATCCCCAAGCTGTGAGTTGGCAGCTCTACAGGAAACAATATTAGTGCTGGTTGGCTCAATCGATAGTAGTCTCATGTGTGGGTGGCAGCAAGGTTTAAAGGAGACATTTCATGAAAAGGATTCAATAAGTATAAACTCAGGAGAATGAGTGGTTCCAGGTGCCAAAACAAACAACAAATCTAACAGGTGTAGGTGACTTACATATTGTTCCAAGTTTAATTAACATGTTTAGAGAAACACTTTCTTCAACAGGAGACTGATTTGAAAGATACATAAAAATGATGATTACTGCCAATAAAAATGATAGGCTAGTAAGCAAATAAAATGAACAAGTATATTATATATTACAACATGCACCGAACAAATATCAAGAATTTTCAAAGAAAATGTTCTCAGAGCAGAACTAAAACATAGGGAATTCGTAGCATTCCATCATTAAAAGCAAAGAAAAAAGGAAAAAAAAAGGATTTTTTCTCCCTTCCATGGCTATATGATATTTTGTTGTTCTGAATTTTAAAAACCTGTGAGTTTAAAATTTCAATTATGTTTATTGAAAGTATGTTTATACTTTCAATTATGATCATTAAGAAATCAAATTCAAATGAAGTAGGATATGAATCAGTTAAAAAATATCATGTTTTTATTTTTCCCATGTTTCCTATAAGTGTAAAGGATTGTACAATGTTGTGTTTATGCTTCAAGAAATTCTCAATGCTCACAAGTATAAAGGTGGGAGGTAAGGAGCAATACATCACAAAGTTGCTATGTAAAATGCTGGTTTCAAGTTGTGCTCCCTTGTACTAAGATGAGTCACCAAGTTTTGTTGTAACTTTAGCTTTTCACAGTCTTCAAAAGGTTCTGTTTTAGGATATCTTTACAGTAGTTGGATTTCAAAAGTTATAAAGGCATAAATGAAGATTTCTAGGTCTGAATTTGAGACACATATTCAAAGCTTGCTTAAGCCAAGGCCAAAATGATGCATTTGACAGCACAAGAACATTGGTTTATGAGTGTGGGACACTGGGCAAACTTACAGAAATATCTATTCCAGTTGGATAAATGAGAATGCACTACAGCTGCTTTTAATGAGAACCTGATAAGTCGCAATGAAATGACTGGCTGAAATTAATCTGGAGAAATCAATGGAGACTTTAATTAGAACACTGGCTACAGTATGCTCGAATTTCTTTGAGGGTCATTGTAATGATAATGTTATACAGACTGCTCCTCCTCTCTCCTTCTATAAATGAGCTGGTGTTTTGCTATAATAAATGAGTTTCAAATATTCTCCCAGATAACTTTAATTAAAACCTCTTGCCAGAATGTAAAAGAAGGCATTTGCCCTTGCTAATGGAAGCTCAGACTTTCTAGCAAAACTTAATAAAAAGTCAAGTAGGAAGGCAAAAACTGTCATTGCATTGTTTCAGTGGCTCCCACCTTTCTTTAATCCGGGCCATTGGTACTCCTTTAGCCTGCTTTTTCCTAAGGTTGGAACAGTGAATGCAAGGACGATGCAGGCAGTATGGGGATTTTGATAGTGGCTGCATGCATGGCTTTTGCCCTGTGATTGCAGGGATGCACCTGATTGCTTGGAATAGGTTGTTAACTCAGGTTAGGTGAGTTGATAATTTGCCATTGGAGAGCATATGTAATGTAAGTACACAGAGAACTGCACCCTAGTTTCAGATCTCAAATCGGAAGGGAAACATCCTCTTTTGTACTTTTCCTGTATTGCCCTGTTATAAGCGGGTGATGGTGGGAATGAAGACACATCTCCTTACTGTTTTCACAAAAAGGGAAAAACATACACCGAGGGAGAAATACAGAGCTATGTAACTTTTTAACAGTATGGTGGCAGGTAGTGGCTGTATTTGCAAAGTTAAAAATAATCTGTTTTGTTAGTACACTAGTGCAAAAGTATGTATTTTTGTGTTGCAGCCTTGGTTGTAAGTACTGCCTCAGCTGGATTTGCAATGGCACCAGTGCCGTTTGACCTATCCTGTTTCCTGCTTGCTTCCCTGGGAACGGGATTGTCATCTTGTGCCGCTAATTCCATTAACCAGGTTGGTACATTATTATTACTTTGTTTTCATAGTTTACTACCATAAATGCCCAGTAGTTATTTTTTGTAACTCCTGTGCTATGATAAATTAAAATGTGAACATCTGGTGTAAAATGGGACTCTGACAAGACATCATTCACATCTTACCATAACAATGCTCTCTCAATTACCATAAAATGTGGACTGTTGAAAAGGATTGACTACAGTGAGGGCTCTTGGGCATTGTTCTGTTGTGGTGTAACATATGAGTAAATTTTTCGGGCCCTATTTTTGCTCCATAGCTTGCCTAAGGTATATGCCTAGGTTCATTGGCCTCAGTAGAGTCTGTTCAAGCCAGCCTTGGACTTGTGAAGAGGTCTGTTTGGTTCAGTGCTATTATCATTTTGTAATTTTTGTGTGTTTATATGTGCTTTTATTTTATTTGTTAGTAATTGTCTTATTAACTACATTAGAAAAATGTTTTATGATTATTAGCTACCGTGGGTTCTATTTGCTTGAAGGGATTGGATTGATTGATTGAATGAATATGATCCATTTATGGTGCAAAACTCTCAGAATATACCAAAGCACTGCTTCTTCTAGATGATGCCTTATAAAAACTAGGAGGGATATAATTGGGTCAGGGCAATGATTGATGTGTCTTCATTGGGGGGGGGGGGCTCATCTCATCTGAAGGAGGTGGTGAGATCATTCCTGAATAAATTCTTTCTGGATCTGGAAGAGTCCAGTAACTCTAGGCTCGTAGCAAACATTCCTTTCTTGGGCAAGGTTCCTGAGTATGGCATGGCCTACCAGTTTTAGGTTTTTCTTGTTTGAGACTGATTATCTGGATCCATTTCAGTCAGGGTTCAGGCAGGGTTTTGGCACAGAAATAGCTTAGGTTGGCTCGTATATCAGATGAGAGACCAGGAGGTTGTGATCCTATTGATACTCCTGGATCTCTTGACAGTTTTTGATACCATCGACCATGTTTTCCTCCGTAGGTCTAAGCTGGGAAAAAGAGGCTGGTGAATTATTGGCCCGTATAGCAATGAAAATAATAAGATAATAACTATGTGGCTCCGCTTCAGACTTCCCTCCTCCCCCCGTGTAGCGGTGAGGATGGGATCAGAAGAGCTCTTTCTCTCACATTTTTAATAAAACATATGTTGTTCAGTGTTACTGAAATCAACTTCAAAGCTTGATTTACAAAGGCGGCTTCTTTGTTGTGAACTATTGTTGTGATTAACCACAGTTTATGGTTTGGACAAAATCATGGTTAATTGAGAATAGAAACATGTTTCCGATCTTCTTCTAGTGATTGTGCCAGGGTGGGAAGGTGGCAGGGTGGGGAACCTGTAAACCCAAGGCTCACTCATGCAGAAGCCATAGTTTTGTCAGTATACATACAAACTAGGTCATTGTGAAAAGTTGCTCTGAATTGTGATGTCTGCTGGTTGTGTGTTTTCTGATAGCATTGCTAAAAGATCACCTGCAGGTGTCCTGCCCTGTCTATCCTCCCCAAATATCCCTTCAAAGGTTTCTGAGATCACTTTCCTGACCTTGGAGAACAGCCAGTGCAGTTCTTTACATGCTGCCAATGGGTTGGGATGGGTGTGGCAGGGCAGAGTTCTTTTCTTCAGGTCTGAATGTTGGTCTCCACTATGGATATGTGATTTCAAAGTACCTAACAGTATCAAGGGAGCATAGGATTGCTCTGTAAGTGTGCTCCAATTTTTCCCCCTTGAATAATTCAGGTCAAATTTTTTGTATTTGGACAAAAAATTAATATGGTATATGCCCTTTCCCCCTTTTTAAGACAGGATTCTTGCTAAGTGCAAGTAAGATAAATATGCCAGATTAGATCCCTCTAGGACACGGTGGATCTAACTTGTGGCCCACTACATAATTTGGCCTATGGCATCCATCAGCTCTAGCCAGCAATTATGAGAGTTGTCGGCCAGAACTTCTGGAGGGGCTACAAGCTGCCCATCTCTGCTGTAGGGCATCAGAACATTTTTCCAATCAAAGTTAAGCTTCCTATGTAAATGGTTGTATGCAAAGCAACCTAATTTGCATCAGATGCTTTCCCTGAAAATGTTCCTGTTGAAAATGTTGCAAAAAAAGCTACATCACTAGCTACAGACAGTGACTAAATCCCAGTTTTGATACCAACCGTACAACTTGGAATTAAGCGAGAGTGAAGCAGGGAGGCATGGAAAAGGTTATAAGTTATGTAAGACTTTCTAAAAGTGAACAGTTTTTTTGTTCATCCCTCTGTTTAGTCCAGCTTAATTGATGTAGTTCATTGGGTGGGAGTTTGTTTACAGACAGGTTAAAGCAATGAAGTATTTTGCTTGTTCACTCTTTGAACAAACAATGGTGATGAAGAAACCCGGAAGGGATGATAGCATTACCAATCACTTGAATAGGATTTAAAAGTTCACAATACCTTTGCAATCTTTGATTTCCCTCTGTGCTCATTACTGAGGCGGAGTAGCAAATTTCTTATGCTAGAATACATGGGAATTTCAACCTCTCATATCAAAAACTTGACTGCATATAGTGTAAACATAACTTGCATGTATACAGTTTTCAACTATAACAGTCAGAGGTGGTAGCACTGTGGAGCTTACCACCAAAGGCCAACTTTTCTGAGCAAATTAAGCTGTGGAATGAGGAGTTCTTGTGGAGAGATCAACCAGGGTTGGGAACAAAGGCTTTTAGAGTTAAAAGATATGGATATGTGTAATACAAAATAGCTGCTTTTAAGAGCCCTTGAGGTAGAATGGGAAGAAAAAAAGAAGGAAAATGGAAATCCTACTCAGTGAACTATTTGTCTCCCACAGGCACAGTATCAATTCCTTTTTTAACCTACCTTTAGTTTACTAAATAATCCAGTTTAGTCTTGTGCTTTCTCTGATCTCCTTATGAAAACCGAAAATCAAGGTTTTTCTAGTATAATGTCAGATCTTAATGTGGAAAGAATATCATTTGTTAGAGCTGAGGGATGTTAACCTTTGATTTATGGCACTGCCATGCAGATAAAGCATGTAGTGTTGTTTACAACAAAATCCAAAGCATTGAAACGTTAAAAGATTTCATGTATCTCTTAGAAGTCAAGTGCATTCTTCTGAGACTGTGGAATGGCTCAAAGTGGGAGAAGGCTGTAAAGATGAAAGCAGGATGTTTAAAATGGTTTGAATTTAGTAGCTGAAAGATAAACTGCTGTGGTTAGGTTTGACTGATAGTACCTTGAAAAAGAAGCAGATGGAATTGCGTATCTTATATTGAACACATAAAACCTGCAATGGAAAGTAAAGGAGCATGACCACATGGAAAACAAGAACAAATAAAAAAGGAGTGGTATTACCCCTTGTATATACATGTATGTGATGGTCGTTGTGAGGAGCTTAGTCTAGCCTTAACAGTACTGAGTATCTGTATTTAATTTTATATTTTGTATTTTGGTATATATGTATTTATTGGATTTTGACTTGTAAGCCATCCAGAGACCCACAAAGTATTGGATGGGGCAAAAATACCCAAATAAATAAATAATCCGCCATAGCTGTATTTCTGGCATTTGATGTAAAAGTTCTAATTTGTACTTGGTATGGTTATCCCAAAACTTACAACAATTTATTTAAAAGTGAAGTCAGAGAATAGCATATCACAGTTATGTGTGCATCTTATTTAGACTATAGCCGTGCATTGTATATGGAGCTTACCTTTTCAACTGTTTTGAAACTAGAGTTCAGGCAAAACACTGTATATTTTAACTGGGAATGGACAGTCCTCAGTTTTAAAACACTGTTTCCCTGGATTTCAGCCCATTTAATGCAACGCATAGATGACAGATGAGGCTGGCAGTTTGGCATTCCCTGCTATTTCCCAGCTCAAGGTTTGGGAGGACGACTGATGGGTGGATTAGGTGATATGATGCCATGAAGTCTCTCCACCACCCTTACCTGCTGCAATGTGTCAGCCATGCTGCAGTTGAAACATCAGGTTCCTGATAGGAAAAAGGGTTCCTTGGCTGTATAGCCACTACACTGGCAAACCCCATGCAGTGATATTACTTCCCCTCTTCTTGTTCCTTCTAAGCCAACCAGGACACAGACTTTCTAACTTGGTTATGGTGAAGCTGACCAGCTAGGCTGGCTCTGTAGCATAAAAGAAGAGCCTTGCAGAAGCCAATAACAAAAACAACTGTTAGGCCATTGGGAATCAGCTTCTTTTCAGGCTCACTTTCCCAACTGAATACCTTTCCTCCCTTCTAAACAGAAAAGCCCAAATCAGACCTTCATGGTGGATCTTACTGCTTAAAGAAGCAGTTGGCGTATGAGACACTTCTCAACAGATTTGCCCTCTTAACCTGATAAAGTCTCCTCAGAGTAATGATGTTAGGTCTGCTTCCCTCTTGATATATTGTTCTTTGTATTCTCACAAATTTCTCCACAGAATTTGAACCTGTCCAATTCTCTAGGACTGCCTGGCTTATCTCATCTCTGCGTTCACTGGTCTTGGTGTTTCAGCTGCAGATTCTTACCCCTCCTTCTCTTCCGAGCTCTAGAATTTGTAGCTCTAGCTTTGCAGGAAGAGCAGCCAATCCCTATGTAATGTGGGTTTTCTGGAAAAAATGGAATCAACTTCCACATGCAAGTTAGGTTCATTTGCAAAGCATAAATTGTTTCAGGAAAAAACAATCTTATGCCTACAGTGTGATCTACTTTAGCATGTTTATATATTCAGTAAAAAGCCTAAAGTACCCCATGTTAAGTTTTTGTCCCAGTAAATTTTTGTCCCACGTTTAATATTCTCTCCAATATTAAAGCATACTTTGTACACTATGTATATATTCTTTGAACACTTGTAAAAATCTAAAGACAATATTACATGCTTCATTTACATTGTTGATGTAGAGGAAAAAACCCCTGAAAAATGATGTACTAATTCATCCTATTTGACTTTTTCCTTAGTATGCTGTACTAAGAAGCACGCCACACTGGCTTTCAGAAC